CATCTGTTCTGGACTTGGATGTGGAGTCGCAGGAACCCCTGTGGTTTTCCGGAAGGAGCCTTCTTTGACTGCTGAGGGTCTTGGACGAGCTGGGACACCCCGTGGTTTGGCCAGTCCCGTCAAAATCGGAGAGCTGTTGAAGGCATTTCGTCAACACCGTGGTTGTCTCGGAGACCTGTGCAACATCTTCTGTGGAACAAAAAAGAGGAGGAAAATTGCCCATGCAGCAGACAAGCAGTTTTACTTTAGAAGATCTGTACCCAAGTTCTTTGGAAATCTCCGAGCGCATCCCGGTGAAAGTGGTATGGCCCGCGGGTTTCGGCTGGTTGGCCTGCGTAGCTTTCTTCTGCCTCAGAGTGGCCCTGAGCTGTTTGCAAGCTCTGCCACGTCCGGCCGACTGTGAAGATCCCATCCAAGAGCATTGAATTCATCCGCACAAGTTATGTCCTTGACAACTTTGTCTGGAATGCCGGCATCTTGTAGACAATTGTCAGAACTGCGTGGTGTCTCGGCTCCCCTGTCTCTGTCGCGATGCATACAAACTGTGTCATCGGTGGCAACAATGCAAAGCTCCGCCTGGTCCAAAGGTGGTGGCTGGTCCAGTGACTAACCGGCGCGGAAAGCACAACAACGAAATCCTCCTCGCGCAAAGAAAGCCTGTGCGGGTTGATTCTACTGTCGGCACCTGAGCTTCTCGGAGTCTGGACCCCTTGCTCCTTCACTGCGACTTCCTCCTGCGGCTCTCCTACGTCTGCTGGGAGAAAACACCGCAGATGCTCCATGGCGAAGTGTGCCCAGATGCAATCGCAACCGCAAGCACTCTCCAAGCAGTGTCGCCCCGTCCCTGTTTACCGGATGCTTCGCGAGTGGCGACCTTGAATCGGCTGGGTGTTCCTGTTCGGCAGGTGTTGGACGAGCTACCGCATGGTCCAACCATGTCGGTGCAATTTTGTGAACGCTTGCTCAAGCAGCAAGGAGCTAGTAGTTGGGTCTGTCTGGCATTTGTGTTGCGCCTCAGGCGGTACCAAAGCTGCCGTTGCGCATGCAAGATCTTTAACCAGAGCCTGCGCCTTGAAAAAACCCTTGAGCTTTTGAAAGGACAGGAGAGCGCTCCGGGCAGCAATGTGGTTTCAGGAATTTTCTGTCTCTTCCGTTGCAAGCATTTCAGGTTCACGGCTGCGCCCGTTTGTGAAGAAGCCAGGAACTAGGCCCTAGTAACTAGGCCGTGGAAGCGTCAGCGCAGGTGCCCTCTACTACAATAGTATATTGCCTGCCTCCCAGACCCCCAGACCGGCAGTGAGCCGAAGGTGCATGGTGGATGATGTGACGATGTGCGCCGCGCACTAGTTCTGAGATTTTGCGAGTCCAGACGCGATTGAGCGGTGAAAAACTGTAAGAGTAACTGTGCAGCGAACCACGCGGGCAAACGCCACTTCACCAAAGCCGACTGAAATTAAGTCCGCTTCAGGCTGTGCAGCCAATGCTGTACAGAACCGTTTGATTATACGTCTCGTGACACGCCGATTGTCCTCACGTGGAGCGTGTGGGCTCAGGAGGTCAGGGAGACTTGTGTGGTTGTGCGCAGTCTCGCTCCCTTGCGGACCGCCGGCTTCAGTGAGCATCAGGAGATGATCCGTTATATGTACAAGTTACATGCATGGAGCATGTGTACATAACGAGGCGCGGTTACACGTCGGCAATCGAAGCACAGATGGGCTTTGGAAGCTCATGCGGTTCTGCACTACACCGATGTAGGTATCACCACATTCAATGAGATGCCGGCAACACGAGTACATGGTACATGAGCCAAAGTCGTTCAATCGATGAAAGCATTTAGGACAGTAGCTGTTTTCGCACATGAGGGTCCCAGGAATGCTTCCCCATGCCGTGATCAAACCTTCTATCTCGCTGGAAGTTGTCTGCGATTCGCCGCATGCTCGCGACAAGCTGAAGCTTCTGAAACATGTTGTCACGCGTGATTTGTAGCGTTTCTTCTTTCAGTAAGTCCTGCAACGGTCCGGACTTGAGCACGAGGAACACATTCGAACGAGCTCGATTCCCGGATGTGCGTGGTTGGGTCTGGAAGCCATGTGCTGCCCACCGTTGGGTTGCGGCTCAGGTCATTCCATGTCGATGTTTCCCAGCCAGACGGGTAGCCATAGGGTGCCACAGAATCTACGTGACAAGCAACATAATTATCTTCACTTCTCTACGTCTATGGCGATGAGTAGATGCTGAGACGGCCGAAGGCACATCGTTTCCGTGCATTCTTGGAGATGGTTTCCTCAAGATGACTTCAGGATGGGTGCCTGCAGCTCCACTGGATGCGGCTGTGAAAAGCAGCTCGAATCATCTGTGAAGGGCATCTGGCAACAGGAACATAGTCCACCAGACTGAGCAGAACTCTCAGGGGGCCCCCGCCGACGCTGAATATCGAGCCCGGAGATGCGAAGGTTGCTAGTCCCCGTGTGCACTGAGCATAAACAGTAAAGGACCGAGTTGCTTGTGCCAGGGCAGCTCTCCACGTCCGTTGGAAGTCACCGGAGGCTGCGGCGATTGCTTTGCCGGCGGTGCCGAGCCGCCGAGCTTTGAGGCTCCGAGAAGACCCCGGGCGGCCAAACGCTGAGCGGAGGCGCTGTCTATGTGGGAAGCTCAGTGCCGTAGAGCGTAGAATGGAGATGCTTCCGGAACTTCCATGGGACGCGCTTTCAGGAGGGCCAATGGCGAGGAGAGGACAAGCACGGCCAGGCAAGACTCAGGATTCGTCTGTTTCGTGTTGGGTTGGGAGCATGGCAGCATATGGCAGCATGTCGAGCCTGCGCTCAGGGGAAACTGATCTTCGCGGACGGCTCCATGTACGAGGGCCAGTTCGACTCGGACCGAAAGCACGGCACGGGAAAGCCAGTGTCTTGGGCACTACGATCTGGAGCCTCGTTTTGCGGTGGGAAGTGCAAGGTACACCTACAGCAATGGCTCTACCTACGAGGGCCAGTGGAAGATGGAGGCGTTCGTTTTTGGATGACCCTGTGAAATGTCCTATCCCAGTTGCTGAGGTTCAGGATGGCCATGGGGTGGAGAAGCTCGTGGACGGCAGCGTCTTCGAGGCAGCAAATCATTGCAGTCCTCGTCTTCTCAGACATTCTTGCATGCTTCGCAGGGCCAGTTCAAGAATGGCGACAAGTGCGGCAAAGGCAAGTTTACCTGGAACACGGGCGGAAGCTACGAGGCCTGAGAGGTTTCGATCATGAGCAGTGGCACTGCTCAGCGTACGAGCCAGGGAGACTTCGACGCCAACGACATGCACGGAGAGGGCCGCTACCAGTGGAGCGATGGGCGCTCCTACACCGGTCAGTGGCGTCGGCCGGGAGCCCCTACGACGGCCGGCAGACTCGGAGCTTTTTTTGAGCTGCCTGTTGGCGCGTGCTGAGGAACCACATGGGTCCGAGTGGCAGCATGCAGTGGACGGACGGGCGCTGCTACGAGGGCCAATTCCGCGATGGCCGGGTGCCACTGTCCACCGAGCTCTCTTCACCAGCATCGGTTTATCTGAGAAGCATCGTCTGTTAAGGCAAGAAACACGGCGAGGGCAAGCTCTCCTGGCCCGACGGCCGCTCCTACACAGGCGTGTTGTGGCAGAGCGCTAGAGCGCTGTGGCGCCTTCCCTACCTGCTGCAGGTCAGTGGGACAGCGGCCGGCAGCATGGCGTCGGCATAGCTGTAACCGCGAAAGGCTCCGTTTCCGGTTCTCCCGTACCAGTTCTTGCGGGATGTGTTTCCGACAGAGGCCTCTCTCGAAAGTCCCAGTGGGAGCACGGCAACTTCGTCTGCTGGCTCGAGGACGGCCCCCTCTCCCCTCTGCCTCTGCTGTCGCATCTCGAATGCAAAGCGACGTCCAGCAGGAGCCGCCTGAGGTGACCGGTGAGACAGCCAAGACGTGACGCTCGGATGTGGCGGAGCTTCGACTTCCCTGTTATGTTTTTCGATGTCTTCACTGCGTGACTTGCAATGTGAGTCATCTTCGCATCTCGGCAAGCCTGACAAAGTCACAACTGCGAATCCGCTGTAATGCCTCCATCCTCAGCCTACATCCTGACACTAATGCCCACCGGCAAAGGGGACAGTGCCAGGCTTAGCTTCGCGCACTAAACAGCTCAGCATGCACGAGTCGAAGAACCTGCGTGCCCATGCTGTCCCTTCAAGCACGGCATGGTTGGAGCTCTGCGGGTCTCTCACAGAGCGAACGCAGCGAGCATGCTTGCAGTGTCGTTGATGTCGCTGTTGTCTTACATAAGCATCGGGCATAGCTCAAACCACCGGCCGTCTTGTGCAGCAGAGCCCTCCCGGATCAATGCAGCTCCACATATGGACGAATTGGGTCTCACCGCAAGTTTTTGTGTGTCTCACTGGCTCACCCGGCTGTGATGCGCTGTTCAATGCTTTGCATACAATATCGTGGAGTGCCACGCCACGCTGCCACACCAATCCACATTCAAGTTCGTCGAGCACCAGGTTATACGATCATGCGATGGCGTATAGACACGTCAACTGAACAGCGCCGCAAGGGTTCGAGAGAGCTCACGCCCCGAAGGGTCCGTTGCTTTTGAGAAATGAGGTCACAAGTCTGTGTCATGCATTGTAGGAGCAGGGCTGTGGCGAGGCGGAGATTCAACGGAGAGCCAGCAGCTTGGCTCGAACTCAGATACTGAAGCAGAGACTTTAACATTTGATAGCATGCGGACAAGGGACTTGGACGTGGACTGGTCGGAAGTTGACCGCGAGACGTACATATAAGACCAACAGACCTGCAATGTGTCGGCATGTCCGGCCCCGACAGAAAGAGTCTTGCAGTGGCGGCAGTGGGGCTGTGGCCGAGTCCGAGTCCCGAAGAGGACCTTCAGGTAATTCATGATTTCGGATTCAGGGTTTCGTTTGGCAAAGAGGTTCGGGTAGATTCCTATTAGCTTATGCTCCAAGTAGCGCACCCAATTCCCCAATGGCCACATGGCTATGGCGGTGCCTGGGCAGCATGGATGTGTTCTTGGCTCAGACTAGTGACTAGATGAGGTCAAAACGTTTTTTTGGTTACAGTTGCGGTTTTGAAAGCCTGGCTGCAGGAGCTGGCGCTGCTTAGGGCAGAGATGGAAGCCGCACGCCGGGGCGCCGCCGAGGCGCGGGAGGCCCTGAGCCAGCCGGGGCCCCGGCTTTCCCGCTCCCCAGTCCCCGCTCCGCTTTTCGCCCCCTCACAGCTCTCTGCGAGAGGTCGGCGGAGCTCGGCCAGCTGCTGCTCTCGAGGCCCAGGGCAAAATACCATACTGGAAACAGCATTCAAGCCGTGGCACAGAACACAGGCCGCCTAGGCCTATAGGCCTATACCTCTCCAGGCTACGCTGCAAGCGGATCTCTCACCCTTTCCGCATGTGGCCGGTAGTGCTGGTGCGTTGAGTGACCGGTCATCGCCCGCACACAGCGTTGAATACGTCTCGATTTCGGAGTCTGGTTGCTTTTCGACTTGTTGGCTGGTGCAGGCCAGCCACACTCTGCCCGCAGCACGCACTTTGACAGCCGAAATGTTGTGAGCCGCTCGATGCAGCCAGGAATGAAGCCTTGGAGCAGGAACTGGAGGTCCCCTCCTTTTTTTGGGGGGGCCTTCGGAGACTTCAGAGTTGCAACATCTTGTGACAGGTGCTTCGACTTGAGAAGTCGCGGATTTCAGCTTCAGAGGCACGTCTGCTCTCCTGGCCTTCGTTTGGGTGCTGACCCCTTGGCCTTTGCTTCGTTTGTTGCAGGCAAGTCGCCGCCCGGGCCCGAGGAAGGTTCGGCGGGCCCTGCAGTTTGAAATGTTGCTTCTTGGTCTTTTAAGGTGAGAGGCTTGAGGAGGCCCAGGGAAGCCGCAAGTTCCGGCTGAGCCCTCAGCCCGTCCGATGGCGGGGTGATTTGGGGGCTGCGTGCAGGAGTGCCGACGTTTAGAGTTGGAGCTTGAGCAGAGGGACGGGCAGAAGGCTCCGGACTCCTCCCTTTGCGAACGCTGGCCTTCCGAGCTCTGGTGAAGGCCCGGCAGCTGCGTCTGCAGAGCGCGGCCTCGGCAGACTCGGACGAGGAGAGCTCACCGAAGCTTCGCCCACGCAGCACGAGACGCGTCTCGCAGGAGCTGAGCGTGGAGCAGATGAGGCAGAGGCTGAAGCGCTCTGAGCAAAGCGAGCAGGAGCGCTGCAAAATCGGCTGCTGGGTCTCTCTCTCTTTCTCTGTGCTCTCTTTGCGGTTGCGCAGGAGCATCGAGAAGCCGCCTGCCTTGCCGAAGAACATGCCGCTGCTCTCGAGGAGAAGCATCAGAAGCTGGAAGATGAGCACCGCAGGCTCCAGGCGGTCACCGATCGAGCGGTCCGTTTCTCCCAATTCTCCCAGAATGTTGTCGAAGACCCTGCGAGGCAGAGTGCCGGCAGCTGAAGAGCCAGCGAAGCCTGCGCACCAGCAGCCCCACGCCCAAGGAGGAGGAGCCGGAGGAGCAGGAAGAGGAGGAGCGGGAGGCCTTGGTGCGGGCGCGGCAGCGCTGGCGCCGCGCGGGCAGCGCCGTCGTGCAGCGCCTGAGCGGTGGGCAGCACACGGGCGGCTTCGCTGGCGACGGGCGCGCCGAGAGGGCGTCCGAAGACGCGAACGAGCCTGAGCCTTCTCAGCCTTCTCAGCCTTCGCCGCCTTCGCCGCCTTCGCCTTCGCGGCGCAGCGAGCGCTCCGAGGAGTGGGCTTCCGAGCGCAGCGTGGCGTGCGATGCGACGTGGCGGGCCGAGAAGGCGCAGATGGAGAGCCGATCCCAAGAACTCGATGAGGAGAACACCACTTTGAGACTCCTCTTGGAGGAGGAAAGTCAAAGGACCCAGGCTCTCATGCAGCAAGTAGACTACCTCGCCGACCTCCTGCAGGAGAGGGGCTGTTTCTTTTCTTCTTTGCTTTGCTCCTCTTTTCTGTCCCAAAAAAGGAGCGGCAGACTCAGAGCGGCGCCCGGGACATGCTGAAGTCGCTTGGCCTCTCGCGCGAGCCCTCGCCGGACGGCGCGCTCGCCGCCTGCGACGCCCATGCCAAGGTGACTGCTCAACTCTGGATTTTTGGGTTGGGCCTGCATGGGGCTTGGGGACCTGGCTTGAGGAGGGAAGCCAGCCGCCAAGGGAGCCCGCCCAGGAGGCTCCGGGCTGCAGGGGATTTGTTCTTCTCGGCATCGCAGATATGGGCAGGTGAAGTTCCAGCTGCGCTCCAGGGACCGCTCCAGGGGACCTGCAGAGGCAGCGGTCGAAAAGCCGCCTCTCCAAAGCCTACAAGCTCTGCTTGCAGCAGGCTCAGAGCCTGGAGAGCTTCCTGGCGGACCTCCGGTCTCGCTCTCCCTCCGTAAGCCGGAAGCGGAGCCGGCCTCCCCACGTCACTTTGGAGGACACCAGCTGGCCCTGAATTTCATGAGATCTTCAGGCTCGGGTCTTGAGGACTTCTTGGGGGAGAAGCCCAGCTGCCTCTTCGACGTCACAGCCTCCACGCGAGCGGCAGCCAGGCTGCCGGGGCAGAAGGCGACGGAGCCGCCCTCGCAGGCACCAGAGATGGTGTTCGCTCTTTCCCTGGCTGCCGGTCTTGCGAAAAGGAGAGAGTTGCTTGGGATGTGTTTACGACGTTTACGAGTGTGATCTGGTCTCGTCGGCGCGTGTCTGCATGTGGCCTGAGATGAAACAGGCCGGTCTGGAAGCGGTTGGGTTTCACTTGCTGTGCCCAAATGTGGAGGGTTCCCCGCAGACTCTGGGAGATTGCCTTGTTCCATGATCCGACGAGTACTGGATATCTTAAAGGGTGCGGGCGCGCGCGCGCAGTGCTTCTGAAACGTCTGGGCAGGCCTCGCTTCTGGAGCTCCTGGGCTGGCGGCGCTGCCAGGACTCGCCGTGGAGAGTTGCATCGCTCTGACCTGAAGCCCTGGGCTATGCACCATGCAGTGCCGTGCGCAGGCTTGCGGCTCCCTGACCTGGTCCCCGCTCGCGGGCCAAAGGCTCCCCGTCTCAGAAGTCGTAGAAGGCTTACTCTGCTTTTGGTGCCGGCATGCGCGCTGGTAAGGAGCCTGCGGAGCGGCCCCAAGAAGAGCGCCAAAGCCTGGACCTTGGCCCTCGCCGACCAGGTTGGCCGCCTGCAGCCGGGTCCAAAGCTGTCTGCCGCCTGCCTCTCAAACGTCTGAAGGATGCCAAGGGCACCCAAACGGCGCCCCGCGGTCGCAGCCTGGCGCAGTGAGCGCCCTTTTTTCTCTGGTGCCCGGCCACACCCTCTCAGGGAAGTGGAATGGAAAGCCGAATGGATTCCCGGGTGAAAGCGACGCCTTTTTTGAGCTGGGTAGGGCAGCCAGCTTTTGCGAAAGTGGCCCTTGACAAAGTGTCTGCGCAACAGAGTGCAAAGTCTGGCTGCTCCGCGTTAACGAAGGGCAAAGCCACGGTTGAGCCGAGGGCAGCCCTGGTTAAACAGAGTGCGGAGACTGCGGAGTGCTTTCGAGATTGAAGCGAGTGGCGATGAGTCGTGAACTGTCGGACTTCAGCCCAGCCCGTTGGTGTTTTGTTCCGTGGCCAGCTCGGTTCGAAGGATGGGGGAGACCCATCTCAGGTCCTCCCCTCTGCCAGGCACACGGAGTCACGAGTCATAGAGGTTGCAGTTGAGATCACGCTGCAAGCGGTTTCAGGAGCAGATGGGACTCTGAAGGCTCGCGCGATTGAGTGCAAGCTTCTCGTTCCGCTCCGTCCTGCTCTTCAGGCATGTCTGCCTACCGGCCGTGGACGCAGATGTAGAGCACATGTCTGATGTCCATCTGGGCAGCAGGACGGACCCTTGTACTTGTACCTCCATATACCCCTGGAATACCCTCGCCCCATTCTCAGGACCCCCAAGGGCGCAGGAACTCTGCAGAGGAAGGCCAGCGTCGCACACAGCCCGGTCTATGGGCTGCGAAGTGCGAAGTTTTGGGGTTTCATCAGCCCATTAGCTGAGCCCTGTCCGAGGCAAGCCGATCCGAGGGAGCCCTCCTCAGCGGAAACCAGAGACGACCCGCCTCGCTGTCTCCGATCCCTGAGCGGCCGAGGCGCAACTCCCGACGCTGAGCGGAGCGAGCGCTCCTACGATGGGCCAGGGACTCAAGGCCTCACCCTGGCCCAGGATCCGCGAAAGAGAGGAGAGGGAGAGGAGGAGGAGGAGGAGGAGGAGGAGGAGGAGGAGGAGGAGGAGTGGAGACTGTGCAAACAGGTACTATCCCGAGGAGGGATGGTGGGAAGAGGAAGGGCCCGGTGCTTGGAGCTTGCGCTGGGACTGGTTGGAGCTTGGGGCAGCTTGCGCCAGCTTAGGTACGGCCACCATCTGCACCACTTCAACGGGTACGAGACCTCGCAAGGGCCCCGGCCCGTGCTCCCGCTCTCAGTCTCTTGTCTGTTTGAGCCCAGGTACTACGAGGAGTGGCCTGGCGAGGTGGGGGGATCTTGGCGGAAGCCCGTGAAAGAAGCCCGTGAAGCACAGGGTGGACGTCAGGATGACATCGAGGTGCAGCCGAGGGGCCGAGAGTTCTGTTCTGTGCAGTAGACTCTGTTGCATTTGACTCTTCATCCTGGTACACTGATCTGTTCAATCTCGCAGCCTTGGAGGTGGACCTCTACTCCATGGTCTTTGTTCTCGATGAGTGCCTCACGCCGAAGGCATGGACTGAAAGTGGAACCGACAGGGCACTTGGCAATGTATTGAGCCATGCGGCGCTTGGTATGTGCTCGTTCCCCGGTGCCAGCCGTCCCAACACACTTAGCAAAAGCAAGTGCCTCCGGCACATCTAGAACGTCCGAAAGAACTGACATCAGCACGTGTCGCAGTCATGCACGTGGTCAAGCAGCAGACGGGTCGCAGAACTTTGAACACTCAACAGTCCCATCCTCCACTGTGATGCGCGGAGCAATGGCTTGGAGGCATGCAGGCCGGAAGTACTCATTCTGCTTCGGCAGCATTCAAGACGGAGAGCCTTAAACTCCCCATAAACTCCGTATGAAACCCGTGCAGTGCCAGGCCTCTGGCTGCTCCTGGCCGTCTCCGCGACCGCGAGCGAAGAAGTGAAGCGATCACTTCGGGGCGCATCGTTGCAGGGCTTTGGGCTTAAGAATGCAACATCTCCAGGCGACGACAGTTCTCTTAGATTTGCGATTCTGCTTCTAAGGACTCAGAGTAGCACAGCCCTATCCATGTCTGAGATTGGAAGCAAAGGTGCGGCGGAAACGCAAGATTTCCACATGCTGACGCAACCCTCGCAGTCCTGACCTGAGTACCTGTGCCGAGCACTGCAGACGAACACATTTCGATATGACCCTTTCGTTGTGGCTCTTGTCTTTGGATTGCTGCGACCTCGGCTTTGCTCAATGCAGGACCTCTGCAGAGATCTCCGTGACAACCAGCAAGGAAGCTGACGAGAAGGAGCCATGGTCGACACGAGCAGCTAGAGCTATGAAAGCAATGCGGGGGGGGCAGTTGCCCAGGAGGCAGAAAGCTGGTTGAGCAGGCTGTGCGCCGCTGGGCCCAAAGTTTCCACTGACAGCGCCACGGCGCTATTGCAGGCTTGGTGGCAATGGGACCGCGATGGTCGCCTTTGGACTCAGAGGGCGGACGGGCGGAGAAAAATGGCAGCAGTCGCTCGCTCGTGTGTGGCTGGCTCGCACGCTAAGCGAAATTCTCAGGTCTTGTCCGTCTCGTTGCTGCCGGCGTGTCTCTTGAGTGCCTACAAGCGCATGCTTGGCCCTTGGAGGGCGGCCGCCGTTACTGGAGGTCAGAAAGCCCCGTGGAGTAAGGCAGGAGAACTACAGCTTGGGCGGATTCCTCGCGTCGCTCCCTTTCGACCATCCCGGCTGGAAGGTGGGCGACCCTTTGAGCACCTCGCACTCCTAGATTCGAAAGCCGCTAGGCTTGATCTCCAGAATGCGTCAGTTTCAGCGCAGGCAGACGAGGGCAGCGACAGCGACAGCAATGAGATTGGCTGACATGCCCAGTGATACCCGCACTTCAAAACTGTGGTGCCGAATTGACTGCCTCCTCCTTGCCGGATCATCCGGCTGGTCGGAGCGCTGGCAGCTGCATGGGCGAAACAAGCCGGCAGACTTCGCCCGACTCCCCCTTTACCTGCTCAGTGGCCATGGAGGGTCGCTGTTTGATCTGCCAGGATTTGTACAACGGCATTGAGCTAGACGATAGCAGCTTCGTATTTTCCCTGGAGGTGCAATGAAGTGCCGGATCTGTAGCTTCCAACGTGTAGCTGGTGAGCCAGGCAGATGACGTGGCGCCGCAGACACCTGCTGCATGGAGGCCAGCTGGCCAGACATCATGTTCATCCTTGACATTGGAAATCAGAGCCAGTTGACTCACAGCACTCAGGGCCAGACCTTTGAAAATTCACCCGGAACCTCCGCCGATCAACCAGCGAAAGGACAGCCACGTTGCAGATGCTCGTTTCCGCTGTACCTTGTGACAGGAACCCCTCTGGCTTCCGTCTTATACTTATAAGTATAGTATAGGCCTTTGTGAACGTAGATCTGCAGTGAGCTTCTTCGCTCTTGGCTTTGTTGCTGCGCAACTTCTTGGATTTGCTTTCTTTCTTGATCTGTGGTGCTGTTTGCCGAGCAGGCCGGGTGTGAAATCACTGTGGCCTTTGTGCAACTCCCGTTCCAAAGTTCTCCATCGGGTAGCCCACGACAGCCGGGAAGTTTAATGCCTGGAGGGCAGCAAGAAGACCTGTCAGACCTGCAACTCGAAACCGCTCATGTCCACTGCCAATGATAAGCCGCTTCGCCGCTCGCTTCGCTGCTTCTGCGCTTGAGGATCCCGGGTCTGGCACTCCGACACGGAGCGGCGCTGCGACGGTCGATGCAAGCACAGGACGCATTCTGCGCCTTCGCCCTGTGTCGTGCCTCCGTCTCATGCAGCTCACAGGCAACAACACGCCCACGGGAGGCCAGCTGGGCTTGGGCTGCAGCCGCTGAGCTCGATTCTCCTCTGTCACAGCCACGCTGCCCAGGTCGCACTCCTCGCCGTGGCCTCAAACAGTGGAGATTTCGAGCAGAGCGGTTTTTAGCCGAGCTTTGCAGCGAGGACAGAAGGTGTCCACGCCGCCGAAGCTGGAGACGCCACCACCCAAGGACCTGCCGCCCCTGGTGGGGCCCGCGGGGCCGGGGCCCCCTATGGCGGCGTCCGCCTCGAGGCGCAAAGGGCCAAGGGTCGAGTCTCGAGCCGAGCCACCGAGCCACCGAGCCGCGGCAGGGTGGAGCCTTCCACCATGGAGGAGAGAGTTGAGCATCAGCAGCTGAGAGCACCAAAGACTGCAGGGGTTCCGGAAAATGAGGACTCCGAGCCCTCCGACGAGGCTCTCATGGATCCAGGCCGGGATTCAGCCGATATTTGGGGCCCTGATCCCTGCACAGAAAGCTGAAAGGTAAGACCAGCGCGAAGATCCACATCAGCAACCGACAGCTGGAGCACCTGAAGCAGAAGATGCAGGTGCCGACGGTGCCGAGAGCCGAGAGCCGTTAAGACGCTTGAACCGCAAACGGCAGCCCGCCGGCCCAAACACTCTGACCTGACGTGGGGGGTTTTGATGCAGGTCTTAAAGCAGCGGAAGAGCACCCCCGCTGAGGAGCGGGAAAAGGAGAAGGAGAAGGATGTCAAGCACAAGGAGGAAGGCGCCAAGGAGGCCAAAGAGGCTTCAAAGGAAGCCGAGAAAGCCGAGAAGGCCGCGAGTCGTGAGCCAAGCAGCCAGCAGATGCCAGCAGATGCCAGCAGATGCCAGCAGCCAGCGCTTCGGCAGGGCGACGAGGATGCGGAGATCCCGAATGTGTCCAAGAGGCTCCGCTCCGAGCGTGTGACCGTCCGGTCCGTGACGCTCAGCTGCGTTCATTCTGCGGCTCAGGATGGAGGGCAAGGTCCATTCCAACTGTCCTGGCGCACACGGACTCAGGCGCAGGGACGCAAGGACGCAGACTGCAGTTTCTCTCAGTTTTGTCTCCGCTTTTCTCTTTTTCTGTCAGCTTCTTCCTGACTCCGGAGAATGGCTGGTGGCAGCAGCCTCGGCGAAACTGGCTCCACCTTTCTCTCCTTTCCGTCCTCCTAGGTGCAGCGTCTGTGAGAAGGAGCATGTAAAGGCCGGGCGCTTGCCTCGGTAGCGAGGCGAGGCAGTCGCGTTGCTGCCAGGGTTCCGGCTTCTATGGATGTCGCCAGTGCGACTACGATGAATGCCAGCGCTGCGCGCTGACGCCGCAGCCGGCTCGGCAGCCCAGTGCCACGCCTTGCCTTGCGTTCCTCGGCATGGCGAAGTTAAAGAGAATGGCATCAGTGGAGGCGTCCAAAGCTGCCGCACCGCAGCCAGAATCTGTCAACAACTCCCATGCCGAAACGACCAGCCGGGCACCAATGCACCGATGGCCGCCGCACAGTCAGGAGCAGACTGCAGTGGAGTCAGCGAGCAGGCCGTGGCAACAACGCCATGAAGACGCCGCCTCCACCGCCTCCGCCTCCGCAGAAAGGACCCCCAGGCACCATGTCTATATGGTCTGTTTTACAGATTCGCGGAAAAGAGGAGGCCCTTTAAAAAGAACCCAAACAACGCTCCGGGCATCGCAGCGCAGGAGCGGCCAAGACTCCGCCCGGGGCCCTTGGCGACGAATGTCCAAGCGTTCTGGCCGCCACTCCGCCACTTTCAGGCCGGCCCCGCCAGATCCGAACAAAGGCACGTCGGCCCGGGCTCAAGCCTGGGACTTGGGGTTCAGCTGAGCGTCCCGCAGGCTCCTCAAACGCGGCATCCTCCTCGTCCTCGTCCACTTCCGGCCCCCCTGCCGAAGCAAAGCGCAAGCTGACCCCACTCTGACTCTGGCGTCACTGACGTCTTGAGGCCAAGAGTCCGGTCGGTCGAAGTCCAAGTCGAAGTCTTCGACACGCTCGCGCTCCTCACCCGTTCGAAGGAAGGGCAAGGCGGGCCGCGGGCCGTCGAAGAGCAAAGCAGCAGAGCAGTAGAATGCAGCGCATCGTAGCGTTCCTGCTGAGGATGCGAAGAAGGACAAGGAGAAGAAGAAAGAGGCCGTTTGGGAGCTACAAAATGCGGCCGTATGCGAGCTCTTCCATCACTAAGAAGGAGAAGAAGGATGGAAAGAAGAAGGATCCAAAGAAGAGCCAGGCAAAGCCACGACTGCAGCCTTCCCTTTTGACTTCTCAGCCGCTGCGCGTTCCCACGCTGCTAGGCCAAGCGGAAAGCCACGGTGAGGGTCTCGGCTGCCTCGTTGAGAGTCGCAGTGGTCAACTCTGCTTCGAACAGGGCCCGTCCCGTCTGTGCGGTGGAAGATCTTTCCATCCACTTCTCCTTGTGCACTGTTTTCCAGGCGAAGGTGAAGGTGAAGAAGAGCATGAAAAGGCCAGCACCAGAGCCCCAATTATACTGTAAGATCGACAGCTCATTCCGAATTTCCGCTCATCTCGTGTGTGCTGCGAGGCCCCAGAAGCCTACGAAATCTGCCTCTCGATCCCGATCTTCGGAAAACTCGGAGTCCAAGTCCAATGGAGAAAAGGAGTGGGAGCAAAATTCAGTGTCGGAACTGTTTGGGGCAAAGTTCAGAGCATGGCGCAGCGGCACGGCAGGAGAAGAAAAAGAAGAAGACCAAAAAGTCTGATGGCAAGCGTGCTGCGGACCGGCTGTTTCCCCCAGCTGTAGAACTCTCGAGACGCGGAGTCCAGAAAGCTGGGAGGATCCAAAGCTCGTCCCTCGCAAGGAGCCCGAGAGGTGGGAGCCGAAGTGCCGGACCCAGGAGGGACGGAGGGACAGCAAAAGGAGGCGCTAGAGCAGCTGGCACACACGCATCCGATGTATATGTTATATATGGAAAAAATGAATAACTTAGCCGTAGCCATCATTATATTCAGGGCAAAACGGAGAGGGGTAAGCCGAAGCGGGGGAAGGGACGACCCCCGCACGAACTTCGTCGAACCCCGGCGCCCTTCGCCGAACCCCCCCCCCAAACCCCCCCCAGCATTAATAAATATTAATATTATTATCATTAGTATTATTATATTATTATTATTGTTATTATTACTATTATTATTATTATTACTATTATTATTATTATATTATTATTATTATTATTATTATTACTATTACTATTATTATTATTATTATTACTATTATTATTTTTATTATTATTACTATTATTATTATTACTATTATTATTATTATTATTACTATTATTATTATTACTATTATTATTATTACTATTATTATTATTATTAGTAGTAGTATTAGTATTATTGGTATTATTGTTGTATTATCAGTAATATTGGTATTCTTAGTAGTATTATTGTTTTTAGTATCTTAGTATTATTGGTATTATTAGTATTATTGGTAATATTAGTGTTCTAAGGTATTATTAGTATTATTAGTTTAATATCAGTATTACTAGCATTATTAAGGTATTCTTAACTTAATATTATTAGTATTACTTCTATTAATAATATTATTTATTATTAACCTTAGCATCATTATTATGATTATGATTATGTCATACTGATAGGATTGTTACTGGTAGTAGTCTTTATTTATTAGTCAATAGGCATATATATATATATATATACATGTGTATATATATACATGTGTATATGTATATATATAACATATGGATGATGTTATGGTTTATATGGTATAGCATTTTGCTAAAATTAACATTTGTCTATCTTAATTATAGCATAATATTACAATCTTATATCAGATCATACTGTCTGAAATCCTATAATATTTTACTGTGCCTCACCATTTATTACTATATCATGTTACAGTAATAATAACAATTGGTCTGCATATTGATTTTATATATTACATCAGTGCTGTTCTGTAATAATATATATGGTGTACATATTCATATTCCATGTTTATACAACAGTGAGTGAATATTACATGGCATATTAGGACATTTTGTGATACATGTCTGATATGCTATAATTATTGGAATATGCCAGATGATATTAGGTAATGCTGTATTTTATCGTATTATTCGACTATTTGTTTTGCATTATGGTGTTTATGATGGTGATGATGAGTATCGTCATGATGACAAATATTACCCTTCTGATTATGATCATTCTGATATTTTGGTACAATTGCAGTTTTTAGCTTAGCTTTGAGTGGCATTGCTCATAAGAGTTTGTATCCTTTGAAATCTCACAACTTCAGTAGCAGTGGTAGTAGCGGTATTCGACTTCGCCTTCGTATTCGCATTGGCATCATGAAACTTGAAGCTTTTGTCACTGCTATTGATTTCGGTATTTAGATAATCGCGATTATTTCTAAAGCGCGGTTGCGGGTCTGGCTTGTATCGCCTTCGACTTCGTCGTGTGCTACATCTTCATGGTCTTCAGGCGGGGCGTGAGTGAGCTTCAATTTTTATTTTCAGGGTTTTGGTGGGGTTTCGGCACGGCCATAGGATTCAAGTGTCTTGGGATTTTGGGATTCAGAAATTCAGGGTTGGCAGTTATGGTCATGGTTTAGGGGTCCGGGGTAGGGGACCAGGGTTGAGGGTTCAGAAGGGTGTGGTCGTGAACCTATATGGATTTGGGGGTTCCTGAACTTAGGGGTTGGGTGGTGCAATATTCATAGGTCAAGGTTCCTTAAGGGTTGTTGGGGTTCAAAACTTCTGGTATGCATTTGGAGTTGAGGGGATCAAGGTTTAAGTGTACTGTAGGGATTTCGGGTGTAAGTTGGGAGTGTGGCTTGGGGGTGTTCAGGGTCCCGCCGAACCCCCAATGACCCAACTAATCACTAATCAGCAACAACAATCAAAAATCAAGAAACCCTAAACCCCTAACCATCCCTAAACCATGAACTTCCTAAGTGGTGGGATTAACTCAGGCGAAACCCACGAACCTGAAAATCCCCCAATAAAAAGGACCTCGACTCATATTATAAAACACAAACATAAATAACGAAGGCGAAACCCACAAATCTCAAAATCCACCTGATAATAATGATAAGTCCTAATATCGAACCCATTAAGTCGTCCCCCGAAAGCCAAAACCCCTAAACCCTGAACCCTTATTAAAGCCCGAAACCCCATCGTAGACCGCGGACACCACGTGGAGAGGAGGCCGGGGGCAAACCCCGGGGGTTTCGGGGTTTGACAGGTTGGGTTTGGGGGTGCTGATTGGGCGAGCTCTGTTCTTTCGGGCCCCAATCACTGGGTGAGCCCCTTTGGGCCCCAGTATCGCTGGGCGAGCTCCATCGTGGGCCCCAGTGACCACCAGGCGTGCCCAATCGGGCCCTGGTCAAACTTTGCTGGGCGAGCTCCATCGTGGGCCCCAGTAACCAGGCGTGCCCACTCGGGCCCTGGTAAAACTCTGCTGGGCGAGCTCCGTCATGGGCCCCAGTAACCAGGCGTGCTCACTCGGGCCCTGGTTTCACTCTGCTGGGCGAGCTCCGTCATGGGCCCTAGCAACCAGGTGTGCTCATTTGGGCCCTGGTAACCCTGCTGGGTGAGCTCCGTGGGCCCCAGCAACCAGGTGTGCTCGATTGGGCCCTGGTTTCACTCTGCTGGGTGAGCTCCAGTGTGGGCCCCAGCAACCAGGTGTGCTCGATTGGGCCCTGGTTAAACTCTGCTGGGTGAGCTCCAGTGTGGGCCCCAGCAACCAGGTGTGCTCGATTGGGCCCTGGTTAAACTCTGCTGGGTGAGCTCCAGTGTGGGCCCCAGCAACACATTTATCAGGAGAGCTTTCGGGCCCTGATTCCACCCCAATCACATGACATTCTTCATCTTTGTGCTTCCAGATGCCAGGTCTATCATGGTGGACGACGTCATGACCCTGATGGTTTGGGAGGCAAATGCGTGGCTCTTGATTTCGAGTGTGTTTCCCGCTTGGTTGCCAGGTCCTGGATTTCGGCTTCGGTCAGCTTCGAGGTAGGTGAAAGGCAGCAGCATTCGTGTCGATTCCAATGCCTGGCACGGCCAGGTCACATCCTTCGACTTTGATTTGGACAAGGCCAACAGCCTAGATTCTACCAGCTTCCGATTAATGAAATCCCGCTCAGTGAGGTCGTTTATGCCATCTTCGTCATGGAGACAGCGCCTGAGCTAGTTTCGCAGCTTTTTATCGGCCTGGTCGGAAATTAGATGATGGTCAGGTCCACAATCTCGACTTCGTCTGCGAAGGAGGTGCCTCTACTGTTTGCTGAATGAACACGGTAATTGGTGAGATATGGACAGGCTCCATGCCAGAGCTGCTCGAATGGCTTGGAGGCAGCTGCCTTAGCAGCAGTTGCTCAGAATTGGTGTAGGGCCTGATTGTGGTTCATTTCGAGATGCCAGGTCCAAGACTTCGTCTTCGACTTCGACTTCGTCCGCTCTCATGATGCCTCTGGGAAGAGTTCCCCTCAGCTGTTTGCACATTGCTGAATGAGTTGGTTGATGCACGAGAGGTTTGGCACTATAAGTGTTGCTTTGCTTGTCGTGTCGCCGGCCTCAAGTGACTTTTTGCCACATGTCACATGGATTTGACTCCAATATATACTCCGATCCTTGGAACATGGGTTAGGACTTAGGTGGCTGATGCTAAGGTAAATGCTTTACTGATCTGGTCCTCTACACGGGTTTGAGTCCTGGGATCCGATGTCCAGATTCTAAGATGACTTGCAGTGTAACTTTTTATCTCGTTCAACTATGACTGTCGCCCGAATCCTGGAACTCAGTAGGTTCAGAAGTTTAGGCAGGATGGCATGGCGTATTATTATCGAGGTCACTTCATCTAAGTCTTGAGCATTTGACTTTAATTGAGGTTCCGAGAACTGGTCGGCCGTGTGGAGTCGCCTTCGCCTTCGTCTTGGAGTAAGCGTCTCGGCTCTGCTGGGACCCCTGGGATTAAAGGCTTTCTCGTCTTCGTAGTCTGATTTGCGCTGAGCGCTGCTGCCATGAAACTGTGTCCACTGCATGGAAGCAACAAGATATCCAGAGTACTGCATGGTGGTGATGCTTTGCATAGATTGGTTATTGATGTTACCCTGGAGATTCAGATGCGGAGATGGCGCGCTTTGCGGATACCACAAGCAAGTATCATGGACCTGCTGTTTTTGTATGAACGTGAAATGGGACGTGAATCAGCCTTCTGCAACTTCTGGGATATGTGGAAACATTTTCAGGGCCATGAGCGGATTGAGATGCTTGAGCGTATCTCCCTCATATTCCCGCAGTTTGCTTATAGCATGCTGGATCAATGGTATTGCCACTCGATGCGTATTCACCTGGATCAGCTGGATTAGACCTTCTCAAGGCCGGCATGGGACAACTCCGAGCAAACAGCTTATTTCTGTGAGCGAGACAAACACCAAAGAGGGTACGAGCAGTTGGGCGCATAAATTTAAATATCTGGCGTTCTTCTGATTACTTTTGGAGTCATCTGCTTGCAGGGATTCTGGGCTTTTCTTGTGGGTCTTTGTCATGGATGGGGTCTCTCCTGGAATGGCAGACCCCCGGAATTCTTGCTAAACCATGAATTGGCGGATGTGCATCCCTCTCGTGATCGTTGCCGAGTGCTCCGTATAAACCCTGCTTTCCTCCAACAACTCTGGCGATGCAGCCGCCTCGGGCTTCTCGCGTCCACTTGTGTAGCTCACTTACCTGCTCCTTAGTAGTACTTAGTAGTAGTAGTAGTAGTAGTAGTAGTAGTAGTAGTAGTAGTAGTAGTAGTAGTAGTAGTAGTAGTAGTAGTAGTAGTTAGTAGTAGTAGTAGTAGTAGTAGTAGTAGTAGTAGTGTAGTAGT